AGTGTGAAGAGTGTTGTGTTCTGAGTGTGGCCAACCCTTCTGGGAGGGAGGATGGCAGCAATTCTCAGACAAAAAGGACCCAACCCTTCCCTTGTGGCTCATTGAATTGCAATGCTTCTGTTCCCGCTGAAATTCTAATCGGAAACAATAGCCCCCTAGAAGAAAATGTCCCGACCCTTGCTCATTTTGACCTGCTGCCGATATGGTACCATGGAGAAGCCAACAGGCCGGTGCCTGAGTAAGAGGACCCAGAAACTGGGAAATGCACAGCAGAGGGAAGAAAAATAGAAAGAGAAACAATGAGCATAACAGATGGCTCACTGAACAGAAGAGACAATCAAAATATCATAAAAGACAATTTATTCCCAACAAAGTTCCTTCTAGCTACACGATGGTATGGTGTATTTCACACAATAGTTACACTTCTGTTCTCTGAAAAGCTATGCTATAATTCACATTTATAGAGCATTTAGTATCTACATACAATTGAATCCTATTCTCAGATTCAAAATATAACATCCCTATAAAGAAGTTAATAAGCAATATTAAAAGTATGTGTGACCCTAAATTATCAAATCCTTTAAAATCCAGGTTACAGAAAGCAAGGTATATTAATGCTATTGGGTGGAGCAGAAGGAAATACTAGGAAAGAGGAGAGCTAAGCTGATGCCTCCACCCCAAAGAGCAGAGATGTGCCAGAAAGAAAATCTGAAGGAGGGTGTTACCAATAACGCCAAGGAATAAAGCTCCAGGGTAGAAGCTGCTCGGCAAGGTAAAAGCAAAAAGCAGAGAGAGGCCTCTCCAGAAACAAGGAGGAAAACCTAAGTGAGTTCAGAATGTGTTTTCTCATTAATGAAGGACTTGCATATAAAGATCATCTTCTTTTAAAATAGCTGGGAGAATAGCGATAGAAAACATATTTATTGGAGTTTTTTAAAGTCATTTTATATTTGAACGTTTCTTTTAATTTTTAATTAATTTATTTTTATCATCTGAAATGAATGTTTATTATTTTAAGTGATTTAAAAATCATCTCTATATAGTCATATTAGGTCATCGTTTTTAGGCCAAAAGATGCTGAGAGCTAAAACCAGCTAGACCCACATGCAGTTTGGACACTGGGAAACCAAACACCTTCACTCACAGAACTAACTGTCTACAGTAATATGACTTTACTATTCTATTGTCTTCATCAGCATAACTTTACTATTCTGAGTCCCTTGCCCAGGCGCATAACTTTATTGCTCATAACAGAAACTTCCTTATTTACAGAAATGTCCAACTCTTCAGTACAATACATCATAGGCAGTTGTGCCCTAGGACTTGTTCTGAACCTCTCTCCCTGAATCCTAGCCTTGAATGTTCTAGCAATGCTAAACTGCAATATCAGGGTCCCTGCCCAATTCTAATTAAGCCCTCTTCCTCCCCGCAATGTTCACATTGAAAGATATATCTTAGCTCTAAGCCTATATAATAAAAGCCTAATATGCTAAGTGTCCAGTCATCCGATCGGCCGTACAGAAACTCACCAGGGCAGAAAGCCCTGGATACCTAGCAAGGGGCAAAACTGGGGAAACAAGAACCTCACCCCCAGGGTAACCTATCTTCCCCTGGCATATCACTGGTCACGTGGTTTGGACCCCCTGATCTTTCATATCACTGGCCAGGCACCCCCTTACCCTTTCCTCCCTAAAGATAACATCTAGGCCTCAGTTGTATCTCAGCTCCAGTTCAGAAAACCAGCAAAACCAGACAAGTGACACCTTGGCTGCCTCAGAATCAGCTACATTGACTAATGACCCCTGTCCTGGCACTGACCAATCAGTGGAAACCAGGACCCTTAAAGAGCACACCTGGAAAGCTGACGAATAGTCTATTGAGACCCTTCCCGGAGACCTCCCCTAAGATTCCCACCTGCAAGGGAGATAAATATGCTCAGGACAAAGGACCCAGCTTGAGCTCTCCCTCCAAGGAGCATGCCCATGCCATTCCCTCCTTCCCTCTCCTTCCCCCACAGGCACATATCTCCCAACTTGTAAGGGACCCCATGAAATTGCAACCAGGGGAGCAGCAGCAGCCCATCCTGACCCTGTCTCCAAGGCCCCCTTTTCTCTGACTTCCCAGTGAGCTAAAGCAGCCCAGCCCAGGCTCTCCTGTTGCTTCTGCCATGCCCTCCCTTGTTTCGCTCTCCTAAGTATATTTTTGCTGCGATCAATAAATTATTGCTTGCTTTCCTTTCATTTTCATTGACCTTAAAATATTTTCTGCATTGACAAGAAGAACCGAAGTCCCAGTTGGTAACCCCAATTGATAACACTTTGTTCTGTGATTTCTCCACAAAATGTTATTGTTCTTTGCTGCAAATGCAATATAAGCCAGAGTTCTAAGCTACTACTTTGCATTACTTATTTTCCCCTGGATCTCTCCCAAGTATACAAGAGATATAAATGTTAATACACTTTTATTGGCTTTTTCTTGTTAATCTGTCTTTATTATAGGATGCTAAGTCAAGAAGGATAGTGGGGAAATTATTCCTCCTACATAATCAATGAGAGCAAGGGGACATATAAGTGCAATTTTAGGGGCTTATTGGTCCCGTTGTCTAACAGTGAGGACCTTCCCTGACAGGCAACACTTTCTGAACCGTCCAGCGAACTCTTCCTCTGCCCATCCTTACGTTGGTAAAATATAGCAGCAACCATTTATTGGTTAAAATGATACCATCAAGAAGGCATGCAGAAACTGCTTAATTACAAACACCCTCATTTGAAATCTATTCAATGTCCTTTCTAGGATTTTCTAGTGCTAAGGAGTTGATGATTGCAGATGATAAAAGTTTATTCTGGATCTAGCCAGTTTGGCTCAGTTTGGTCTGCGTCAGCCTGAAGACCAAAGGGTCCAGGGATAGATTCTGTTCAAGGGCACGTACCTTGGTTACAGGCTCTTCCTCAGCCCGGGCCCTGGTTGGGGCTTGTGCAGGAGCAACCAATCGATGTATTTCCTTTACTCGATGGTTCTCTGTGTCTTTTTGTGTCTCTTTCACTCTCCCTAAAAATCAATGGAAAAATATTCTCGGGGGAGGATTAACAAAAACAAAATTATTTGGTAAAATAATTTTTGATAAAATTTTTGGTAAAAGTCAATCATCTTGTTCCTTAGTATCCTAGAGTACTTTGTATGTCTGAGGGAAAAGGAGAAGAGGTAAAATACCTCCCCTATTTGTTGGTTACATTTTTTGCAATAAAAAAATAAGAACAAAATTATTGTAGTCACCTAGATTTAACATTTTCTTTTAAATGTTAGTACTAATATCTTGCTATCCTGTTGCTTTGGTAGTAAGGAAAGAGCTTATGAGAGACCAATTGGTTTCCTTCATAAAGCAAATTAGTTCAAATGAAGAGCAATATTATTTTCATTTATAAAACCCAAAGAAGAAAAAAATAGAAAAACATTTGGTCCAGTGGTTTTGTTACTCAATAGTTGGGGTGATATCATTGTCAAACTAAACCCTGGGCTGACTCAGTTTTTAAGAAGCCAAAATCCATTGGTTGAGGAACCATGAAGAAGCAATAGCACTGACAAGGAATGCTGATGGGTTGCTTGGTATATTTTGTAGCCAATCTGTTCACACATAGGTTTCTATATAGCTGACTCCAGAAAATTCACATCCTAATTCTACTTAGCATTTAGTCTATTCCTCCTCTCAATCATGCCAGCTTTGTCTTAGGGAAGATTAAATAAAGTGTTTTAGTGAGGAAACAAATGGAAGAACTTGCAATAAAATCTTAACACATTACTGGAGGAAAAGAGATGGGCAAAGGATCTCTGAGATACATTAATGGCCATTAGTTTTACTTCGCGCAGAAGTACATTTCAGTTGTCCCTTTTGACGTGACTGTAAGTACCAGAATTTATTAAGACAGCATCAAGTAAAAACTGGGACTGGATATATAAAATTGATATGGTAATTACTCTTACATGGCTTATCATGCCGATAAACATCATAAACACAGGTAGCGTGATGAATTACAAGCATTCTATCACAGGAAAGCTGGCTAGATTAGTTTCATGGGATTATTTAAAATGTGTTGCTCTAATAAAGTGGGAAGAAATATGTGAATAAAAATTCTCCCCAGAAGCCATTATAAATAATGCATGCAAGATGTTTTAAAAATCGGTACAGCTTTCCATTTAAATTGGGTGTAATTTTTTTCCCCACTGCACCTCCTTTTTCTCAAATTAGCCTGTGTGCTGTGACCACACCACGTATCCTGAGGTCTGAGAGTCAGTAACACAGCATTGTTTCTATTAATGAAGGGCATGTATTCCTTTAGGTTTCAAAACTTTATCACCAATGGGGTGGGAAGTCCTAGACTATGCAGGTGGGAAGTCTTAGTCAACATTTTCCTTGTTAAAATGGAAACAGTGCTCTATTGAGGGAGCCGCCTGTTCCCAGCACATCTCTATGCCCCCTTCCCCAATCCAAGTCTGGCTTGCTTTTAGTTAGACTGAAACCTTAGTTATGATGGCCTCAGATTTAGAAGAACTCGGTATACATTCTAAATCTTTTAATCCTGCCAGGCGTCATTAAGTCAATCACATAAACGTGTCAAGGTCTCACGTCCTTCACACAAGGAGAGGGATAGTATGTTTCAACTCTGGTGACCCATAATTCATACTGGAAATAAGGTTCCAGATATCCTTACCGACACAGTGAAGATAATTTATTGCAGGGAGAACTGCACTTGATTGCAGTTTCCCGCTGTCGCACTAACAAAGCCAAAGTGTATGAGGACAACTCTGTTGGGAGGAAAAACTTCTTCCTTTTTCCTCTTTCACCTTCAGTCCAGGAGTTGGGGGGTCTACAAATCAATGACAACAGACAGATTAACTGCAGGGAGAACTGCACTTGATTGCAGTTTCCCGCTGTTGCACTAACAAAGCCAAAGTGTATGAGGACAACTCTTTTGGGAGGAAAAACTTCGTTTTTCTTCTTTCACCTTCAGTCCAGGAGTTGGGGGGTCTTCAAATTAATGACAACAGACAGATTAAGAGGAGGAAAAAGGAGGTTTATGTACACATGCCCAGGGGAGTTGCTCCACAGGAGTATGTTGTGAAGTAGCCGTAGGTAAAGGTGTAGGTACACATGTCAACTTAACATAAGAGGGTTTGGGGGCCTCCAAAAGGAGAGTGTGGAAGATTCTGTTGTAGATGGTGGGGTGACACCATTTGTCTGACCAGGGGGGTCAGACTAAACCTGGGTTCAGCAACCTCGGTACTTGGGTTCTGGCTAGGGAAGAATTCAAAGTTCAGACCCAAACTGTAAGAGAACATTTATTGGGTAAATTACAGAGGTAGAGAAAGTAATTCCTAGGAGAAATGGGCTAAGCAAACAAGTTCTAGGGGTCAAGGAAGGGCCCTTGGAGCTTGGGAGTGAGGAAGCGAATGGTGAAGTGCCTGGGGAGGGGAGAGAAGAGGGAAAGGGAAAAGCACAGGCGTGCTCCCGGAGGGAGAGCGTTCCGGGTCCTCCATCCGAAGGATTTTGAGGGCAGAGGTTTTAGGGGTGGTTGCAGGGAAAGATCTTAATAAAATATTCAGCAGTTTTTCAGGTGTGTCTTTTCAGGGTCTAGGTCTCCACTGATTAATTGGCCGGCACCAGGGCAGGGGGCCCCATGAAGCTGGTCCTGAGGTCAACCATGGCTGGTTTTGTTGCTTATCTGGGCCTGGAGCTGAAATCCAACAGAGGCCTAGATGTTATCTCTAGGGAAGAAAGGTCAAGTGGTCCAAACATTAAGACCATGGATGTGCTATGGGAGGAAAGGGCAGCTCGGGGCCCATCCTCCTGCTCTGCTCATGTCTGACTAACTGCCTACAGCAATTCTACTGGGGTTTGTTGTGTGTGTGTGTGTGTGTGCGAGTGTGTGTTTGTTTTTTGTTTCTTTGTTTGTTTTTAGGTACTAATGAGAATGAGCAGTCTCTTTTCAAGGCAGCTGAATATGCAAGAAATGTCCTTGGGTGGAAATTCATAGCAGTTGTATTTTCTAGAATCTCAACTTAGGCAGATAAGATTTTTTTCTGATCTTCTGTAGCTCAAATATTGCCACTTTAAAGTAATCTTGACACCAATTCTTAGGGCCTGAGTCTGTCTGCACAGCTTTCTTTCCACAGATTCCAATAACTCAATCTTGCATCTATTTTTATTTTCCAGAAGGGCAGTGACCATAAAAATGGCCTACTGCTGGAAGGAATATCTTTTAAAGCTTTTTGCTTGGACTTTTATTTGCATTTAAAAGAGAGACCAACTAGGCTGTGTATGTGATTTGAAAATAATTACACAGCTTGCGGCCACATTAAGTTTGGAGAATTTGTTTTGAGTCACTTTTAGGAAAAGAGAAAGAGGCCTAAGTTTCTTTTATTAAAATTTATGTAATTCTTATGTAACTATTAGTCTAGGAAGAAATATATATATATATATACACACACACACACACACACACACAAATTGATATTACCTTTTTAATAATATGTAAGTTATACCACGTTCATTTGTCTTGGTAATATTTTAGGTTTCATCCCTGTGTTTGCAAGGTTGGTGATTTTACCAGTTTGGGTTTATCCTGAGTCACTATAAAACTTAAAGAACATCAAAGATATTTTTCCCACTCTGTCTTCCATTCCTCTAGGCCACAGATGATGTGTTTACAGCCTTTAATATATAGCTCATTTATTTTTATACTGATCAAGGTCACTACTATCTTTTTAATCAAATGGTTGATATATGAAGCTACTTCTAATCTTGTGGAATGATGCAGGAACCGGAGAAACTGACAGATAAAATTTAGGTCTCACTTCAGGACAAAACACAAAAAGAGAACTCAAATGATGACAAGAATTTCAATGAACATAAATTGATTTTCTTTAAGGTATTTTATAAACTCACTATACATGAATGAGCTTATTGTGTGGAGGTGGGGAGGGTCCATAAATGTTTTCAATTCATAAACATCCATTAAACAAATATGAATATATGATCACTAATGACAACACTGACACACAATTAAAAACCTAAGACACGTCCAACACTTGTTAATTCTGAGAATGTAAAATATGACCCATGATTTCAAGAAGCCTAAAGTCAAGTTTAAATACAAGATAGATACAGGATAGGAAATACAATGAAATGAGACAGCCCAAAGTGTGTATTAGTTCCTTGCACAAATTAGTACTCAATGAATATTACCATGATGATCAAGATGATAGTGGTAATGATCCTAAGTGTCCAATGAGTTAATAAGACATTCTTATAGACATTACAAAATGTCACATGGGCAGTGGCACTATGGCAAGGCTTCATAGTAAAAAAAAGAAAGGAATTAGATCATTGGAAAATGAGGAGAAGAAATTGTGTGTAGATGGTTGGCATCTAAGCAAAGTCATATAAGAAAATACATTGTATTAGTTGGGCATGAGAAAGCCCATTGCCTAGGAAAAAGAAAGATAGAGAGATAGATAAGGTCAAGGTTATGGGATATTTTAAGGCTCTGGCCTCAGTTTAATGTTTATTCTGAATGTAGTCGGGAATCATCCGAACTTTGTGAATAGGAAGGATGACAATGACAAGAGTCGTGTTTGGAAGAGCCTTGCAATGATACCCTGTTAGACTGAAAAGAAACCAGAAGAAGTATGCCAGTTAGATTATGTACATATGAATTAACTAATATAATGTTTGAACAAATATTACATATCTTTGAAAGTCACTCTAGAGGAAGAAAAATGTTAATAGATGGTCACTTTCCCCAAAGAGTCTGTTATCTCTCTGAGTGGAGAGATTTACATACAAGAAATAGACATAGGATTATAAATCAGATAAAATATAATAATATATTTAATTAAGCTGAGTGCATTATAAGTAAAACAGAGCAGAGAAAGAGAACATGGGGAAGGCTTCATGAACAAAGTGAGATTTGAAATTGTTCTGGAGTGATGAGTAAGGTCTAAGTGGCCAAAAAAGGAATGGGGAGTGGGGGAGGAGACATTTTTATGGAGACACATCACAAGCAAAAGTATAAAGATATCAATAAGTATAGCATGCGGTTGGAGCAATAAACATAAAGAATGAGTAGCTGATAAACCTATGCATGGGTTAAAGAAGAGTGGATACACAAATTAGTTCTAATGAGATGCCCAAATGGAATTACTAGTATAGATCATTATGTGTCCATTGTGTAATTATTTAATGCCAGGTGCTGCTCTAATATTTTCAGATGTGGGTGTGTTTAGTGCTCACAACAACCAAGTGAAGTTGATATTATCTCCAACATGAAGATGCAGAAACTGAGGCTTGCAAAGCTGAAATTAGAAAACAGGAATTCAACAAACATACTTGAGCCTCTGCCATGTGCCAGAGTGCCCGTTATTACAGATAGTCTTTGAATTTAGATCGGTTTCACTCACAAGACCCCATAATTCTCTCTACCCCATGTTAGATCTGTCTATTCAGCAAATTGATTCTCATCATAGAATTTCATATTCACTGACTGGCAGGAGGACACCGCTGTCAAAATGTCAAGTTCATGCGAGTATCACATCTCCAAGTTGCCTAAAGCAGATTTTCCAGTTTTTTGTTAACATAGTCGTCCCTTTTATCGCATCCTTTAAAAAAGTCTTTCTTAGCCATAGAAGCAGTTTCTAAAACTGGGGTTATAAATGGGGCCATAAGCCAGTGCTTTGCAATTCAGATGCTATCATTAGAAGGCAGCAGTGACATTCCGTCTCAGAAATGGGGCCATAAGCCAGTGCTTTGCAATTCAGATGCCATCATTCTGTCTCAGACCCCTCATGGGAAGGGTGGCTCACACTCCACGGGGTACAAACCCAAGCTGAGACTCCTCAGAAAGAGCACGCCGGTGGGGCGATATCACAGAGGTTTTGGAGAGAAAACAATCCCCCATAACATCATCGCAGAGCTATCTGGAGAAAACCATAATGGGCTTAAATGAGATTTAAATTAACTGGATACAAGCTTGCAGCGGCAATTATAAGGGCCTTTTAGCTAACAAGAAAATAAGGCCAGAGAATGGCTATGTTTAAAACTTCCTTCCAAAAATTGGCAGCTCTATATAGATAGATAGGTAGACAAATAGGTAGGTAGGTAGATAGATGATAGATACATAAATAGATAGAGATAGGTGCTGATATCAAAGCAGCAGAATACACCCCCAAAATATGCCACCTTGATATATTGATTATTTTGAGCTGTAGGCACTTGGAAAACAGCAAATGCAGGGAGAGGCTTCCTCTGAACTCCCCTGATCTATGTAAAGATTGGTCCTTCAACAGGTACTCAGTTATAATTCTCCTTCCTGCTACTTTCATCAACCAGGGAGTATTGATTCTTGTCACAGGAAAGGGGACTAGAAGCCCACACCACACCCAGGCAAGCTCTGTCACAAGCTATCATGCCTCCCACCTATTTTCAGGCTCCATTCATCTTTCCTAAAAGCCATTGCTTCTCCCCAAAGAGACTGACATCCCCCTCCCTTTCCTCATTAAGATGCTATTTCAGTCCACATGCTAAGCACCTTGGTGAGTTGCTCATTTTTCCCATTATGTATGAGGCATATATGTTAATCAACTTCTATTTGTTTTTCCCTTGTTTATCTCTCTTTTATTACTGGGGATTCAGCTAAGGACTCAGAAAAAGAGAGAAAAAAATACTTTTCCTCCCCTATAATATCTTTATCTACATATCTACATCTATAGACACACACACACAGAGACACACACACATACACTCACACACACACGTCATTTGCTGCTGATTTGGCTGCAAAAATGATACCTTACAGGAAGATTATTTTAAAAAGCATATAATACCTCATTTCAGCCAAGCCACACACACACACACACACACATACACTCACACACACACGCCATTTGCTGCTGATTTGGCTGCAAAAATGATACCTTACAGGATGATTATTTTAAAAAGCATATAATACCTCATTTCAGCCAAGCCAAATACAAACACAGAATATTAGGCAAAAGCCTACTAAGACTAACACACAGTCAGATTATTATTTACTTATTTAGTTGAATCTTCAGGGGATACTTGCCTTCAAACTTCAACGTCAATCAACTTAATGCAGTGGAAAGAATATGGTAACTGGAGTTCAAATGGGATTCCAACAATCACTTACCACTGATGAGTAACAAGTAGCAAGTTACTTATTACCTTACCCTACATTTTATAATCTACAAAATGGGGTACAACTACTAGGTTTCATGATTTTTATGAATAATAATTGTAATCAAATGAAGTGATTAGTTCAGGGTGTGCAATGAATACCATGCCCACTGACCTTGCCTGTGGTTGTTTTGACCTTGTCTGTGGTTTTCTTGTTTAGGATCCCTAAGAAGAAGACCCTGAGATAAGGATTTAGGTGTCAATAGAAATTTTGGAGGTGAAACCTGGAAACATAGGGAAGGGGAGAAGGAAAACAGGGAATGAGGCCTATAATGACCGTGTTATCAAACGATCATGCTTTGGATAAATGGAGCTCAATCCCACTATGACAATCTAGTAGAAAAAGTAGAACACAATTTACAATTATCCCAAAGGAGAGGCAAGGAAGCTGGGATGTTTATCCTTCTACACCCCATCTGTCATGGGCTAAAGGATGCTTACTTGGGCATTAACTGTCTGGCATTCTGTGGCTTGTCATCTATGGTAGCCTGTGGCATTCCCCTTGGCCAGAAAAGGAAGGCAGAAGGAAGGAAGGAAGGAAGGAAGGAAGGAAGGAAGGAAGGAAGGAAGGAAGGAAGGAAACAGTTTTAGGCACAGAGACTCATGGGTGGTCACAGAGCTAAACTCCTTCACAACTGAGGGAGGTGAAAAATAAGAGGATGTACAGGGCAGCACAGCATCTGCTAGAGCAGTGGTTCTCAACATTCTGGCCCTTTAAATACAGTTCCTCATGTTGTGACCCAACCATAAAATTATTTTCATTGCTACTTCATAACTGTAATGTTGCTACTGTTATGAATCGTAATGTAAATATCTGATATAGAGGATGGTCTTAGGCGACCCCTGTGAAAGGGTCATTCGACCGCCAAAGGGCTCGCGACCCACAGGTTGAGAACCGCTGTGCTAGAGGGACATATAGAAAAATTCTCTCAAACGCCCCCCTTTCCAAGAATTTTCCAAGATTTGACTCCTCTAAATTCATATGTACAGCAACAATGACAGTTTACTGATTTATCCCAGGCTCCCAGGGCATAGTAAGCATTTAATATCTATTTTCATTTATTTTATAATCTATAACGTTTATTCTTCACTTACAAAGAACCAGGCTCTCTGATAAATGATTGTAGACACATTACTGATATATTATTTCATTTGATCATTACTGTCCTATTATCCCCATTTACTAGAGAAGAAAAAAGAATAAGAGAGGTTAGAAAATATGCTCAAAGCCATGCAATGAATCTGACTCCGAAACCCATATGCTTTAATGATCATAAATTTACCATAGTAAGCTAACTATTAATATAAGGAAAAGGGCAAAGAGAATCAGATATTGTTGAGTCTAAGGGGCTGGGGAGCATGAGCCTGTTTTCTTTACCACTTCATACACTCCAGGGGATCACAGCATTGCCCCTCCAAGGATTAACACCCCTCCCTTCCCCCTCCAATACCAGATTGTCAGGAGGTGAGCACATGTGCAATAGAAGTCAAAATGGCAAAGGGGGAGGTGCTTGATCCTAGAGGCCTGTCAGTCTAACCTGGGAAAGGGCTCACTGTTCAGGGGGTGGAGCTATCAGAAGCCCATGAAAGCTTGGGAAGTTGATTGGTTGTTTTGAAAAGCTCCTCGTTCTTTCCAAGCTCAAGATAATAAAAACCCATCTTAACAAAAATGTTCTCTCTCGCTCAAGAACATATGACCATGTCGGTCCAGCAGCCAACTGGGGCCTGCAGCAGGTCACACCAGCTCCAAAGGACTAAGCTTTAATATGAAGCAAAAACTCTGGACACTGGCCTTTGTTTTGGCCTCGCTGAAGACAAGATTGGACTTTTTCCATGGAGGGACAGAGGGCGATGGGACATTGGGAACCCAGGAGGGGCACTCTTTTTATGTTGCATCCAACACCCAAATGAATCTTGCCACACCACAATCTCCCATGCATGGGTCCTTGGAATGCTTTCCTCACAATCCTGGGAAAGAAAGTGATTTCCATCAGCAACAATATTGCCTTTCTCCCAACTCTCACCCCCTTGCAGACCTTTTCACTCTCACACCTTGAGCAATCACCTTGGTAGATAACACCAACATCATAATCTATAGTCCTCCCTCTTTGGATGTCATATGATGCCCTCAAATGAAAGCTCCCTAAAGTGAAGCCCTTCTCTCCCTCCACAGATTTATTTGTGGATAAATTGTGTCAAGAGAATCAGGCTCAAATCCTCTTAGCCATTCTGTTGCTGCTCACCCTCCAGAGCACCATAATGACAAATGTTTTAATTTATACTACCAATCCTTTAATTGATTCCCTGCTATGTACCAACAACCCAAAAGACTTGGTCTTAGGAAGAATCCTCTTATAAAGATTTGTATAAGTCTAGATGCTAATCTGGACATAAATATCTTGCAGAAGACAAGAGTTAAGAACCACACATGAGATACAAATGTGTGAAAAATTGGATGGCACAATTATCAAATTCTCTGCTATCTTTTGTGACTCTTTTTCCTCTGCCTTCATAGGGCCCATTATTTCAGGGTAGGCTCCCATCTTAAAAATAAGAATATATTTTAATTGCATGTCATGGCTGTTAACTATTATCTTGGACTCATCTATAATAATAAAAGCATAATATGCAAATTGACCGAATGACTGAACAGCAGAACGGCCATCCGGATGACCTTCTGGACCACCCACCACACATACACTGGCACCAGGCCAGCCAAGGCAGGTGAGATGCAATTGGTCGGGGCCCGCCATCACCCAGGCCACCCTTTGTGGGGTGGTCAAGAGGGGGGGAGCTCCGTGATCAATCGCCCCAAAGAGGGAGGTCCAGGCCACCCAGCTGGCAGCGCTGTGATGTGTGGGCAGGGCCTCCCTCTACAGGGTGATTGATCTGGGGGCCCCGTGATCGATCGCCCCACAGAGGGAGGCCCAGGCCAGCCTAGCAATCACACCCCATGCCTGTCACTGGCAGAGGAAGGTGACTGGTGGTGGGGAAGAGGGGGCAGAACCACACAGATGGCAAGCAGTGGCAGTGGCGGGGGCGGGGCCAGCTGCCAGCAGCCAGGGGAAGGAAAGCTTCAATAGGACCTGATTGCCCGCCAGGCTAAGGAACCCTACCTGAGGGGTCCCAGATTGTGAGAGGGTACAGGCCTGGCTGAGGGACACCCCCTCCTCCCTCCTGTGCACAGATTTCATGCACTATGTCTCTAGTTTGTGGAATAAACTCTGTCATGCAATGAGTAGCTGAAGGTTAGGTTACTTATTACTGCTTTAGGCCTGGCTAGACCTGCCCTACTTCTCAGAAAAGTTTGAGGTAAACTTCACTATTTGCCAGTCTCTTTTCAGGCTTAGACACTGGAGGAACATCTTGTTTTAAGCTTTGTGATAATTCAGTAGTTGAGAATTTTAGATCTAAAAAGCCCTTTAAATCTTAAGTACCTGGAAATCTATAAGAAAACCATTTATCACCAAATGGGGTCAATGTCATCAAGATGAAACTACTGGCAATAACACCATGTAGCATTGGTGTTATTGAACTAGAGCTATTTATTGTTTGCTGTAGATGAGAGTATAGTCTGGGCATGGTGGGTGCAGAAGGCAGAGGGATATTCAGAGGCATGTCCCTGGGAGTAGAGGGGTAGGGGCTGTAGAGGGATTTCATGTCCTTGATAGAATGTGAAGAATAAATTAAAATTATCCAGGGCAACTGTTGTCTCTCTTCTCCATTCAGAACTCATAATTATCCAAGATTTTACTTGGACCTGCTAAACAAAGGAGGCCATGGATCCACCGACCATGACAGAAGTCTCCATCTGGAAATTTATACCATTTTCACTGAAATTATAATTAATCAGCTCCAAATACAAATAAACATATGAGTTATTGAGAAAGAATAAGTAAAACCATCCAACATCCAAATCCCTCAGATATTCCAGTCAGTCTTCACATGGCTCAATATTAAGAAAAAAAATACAACATAACTCAGGCATTCACTTAAACAAGACAGATGCCACATAAGCCCCTAAGTTCCATATTCTTCAAATTGTGTCCATTCATTCCAAGTAAAATGAGGTGCTCACATCTGTAGAGTATAAACCCCACTGCAAACCTCTAACACACAATACCTTCATTCACATTCCTTGCCTTGGGACCCATGCCACACTTTCATTTTCAAACATTAGAAGTTATTGTACATCAAATGAAAGTTTCAGAAACAAATATAACATTGGCTCTTTACTCACCTACAAAAATTAACAAATAATGGCATTCTATTATGTTAACTTCAGTTACTTTTGGACAAATAATATATGAGTTCAGTTGAATTCTCCCTCAGGACTCTTCCCAATACAATTCACTCCTCCTCTCTCTGGAAGCATCACTCTTCTGAAATCCCTGTGCATCCCTCCTACCTTTTTCTTTGTGTTTTTGTATCTACAACTAAATATAGGAATTTTGTCTACTTTTATATATTACTTAAATGAAATTTGAAAGGGTCATTGTACAGCTTGCTTTTTTTTCTGTTAACATCTATTTCTGTTGGTACATTTACATCTGACTTTCATTTTTCCTACTGTGAAATATTCCATCCTGTGAGTTTATAGAACAAAAAATCAATTATTATATTAATGTAATCACTATCCAAATAAAATTTTCTAGTAAAGATGTTGCTCGTTTTTTATTCCTATTGTTTTAATGGAGATTGGAGTTTTGTCTCAATATGCTGTTTAGCACAGAAAATCTTGTATGATCACAGACATCTACTCACTAGGTACTAGAAGATGGCCATTCAAGTCCAGGATCTACTTGGATTTGTCATATTCTTCTCTGAACTACTGTTTTCTCAGCTTTAACTGGAGTGAACGAGTGTTGGGAAGAAACCCACAGCATTCAGAATAGTCACATTTGAGGCTGATGGTTATAAGACTTCAGAATAAAGCAGAGATTAATGAAAATTAACAGCACTTTTTAGATCGAATTACTGTCTCCATTTAGGGCTAGAAAACAAAGACTGCTAAGGTTGCTGCTATGTACACTTAACTGCTGATATAAACAGGCAGCCTATATCATACACAGGTGGAAAAGGAATCAATTATGAGCTGACTTCTGAGCTGAAAGGTGACAGAAGGTACCCTACCAGCACCCCATACAGACACACAGCAATACCATCACCTCACTTCCCACCAGCTCACCAGAGATCTGAGTTCATCTTTTCCTAGGAACGTTCAGATAAATCTTGGTGACACAATGGAGTAATATGGCATTGACAGGTTTGTAGAGAAAGACTACACCATCTCAATAAAAGAGTCTTTTCTCTGCTACCTTGTCTGCATGTCTGTATAATCTTCGTCAGCCTCATAGGCATCCGGTTCACTGTCACTCATTTTACCTTCTTTTAGCACTGGTTGTTTATTTTCCTATACACCAAGCTTCTTTCCAAGTCAAAGAATTTGCTTATGGCATTCTCTCAGTTTTTCCCTGCTCTTCACTTGGCCAATTCCTACTCAACTTTCACATTTTAATTTAAAAACTCAATCCAGGTTAGCAGCCTTGGCTAGATAATTTCAGAACATCCTATATTCTTCAGTAGCACTGCAATTTTAG